ACGCACACAGACATACACTAGCAACGGGTGAACATAGAATGTTCGTTGTAAAAGCTGTGTGTGTGTGTGTGTGTGTAGGTAAGCAAGCGCCTCACATTACTTGAGTGATGGTGGTGTATACGCAACATTGACAGCGACAAAGATTTACAGACCAAAGTTGAACTTTAACTTGCGGACACGCACAGCAACAGCAGATACAAGAACAAACTGGATAATAACAACAACAATCATGAAGCGCTTGCAGGCAATGCTTACATTTGATTACAATGTCATTGAGTAATTAATGTGTCCTTGTCAATAAAAATGCCAGCAGGCATACGTATTGCTGCCTGACAGGTTACAACAGCAACAGCAGCAACAGCAGCAACAACAGCAGCAACAGCAGCTACAACTATAATGGCAATAACAACAAAAATGCCTAGTGTGTATTCATGAAACTAAAATCCTTTTGTTTGCCTTGCCTTAATTAATCTCATCAGTTAGCCCAGCTGGTCGTCCTTCTGACCGGATGTAACTGAGTCTTGTTGTTCAGGTGTCAGTCGGAGCCCCAGAGCATTGTTCATATCCTGCTGCTATCGCCGCTGCTGCTGCTGTTGTTCGCCTCCGGAAATTGTATTTCTAATTAATGAGCATAAAAAGTAATTTTCGAAAATTTATTACGTATACGATTTCGTAGTTTTTAACAGCCCCCAAAAAATACATTAACATAAAGCCTTAACATCGCCGGCAACGTAGAGAAATGTTAAGGCCCAGAGCAATCCAATCAAAATAATTGCCGTAGTTTTGCGGCACTCGTAAAAGCAATTCAAATTATAATTAAGACTCAAGCGCCCCCAGCAAAAGCAATTAAAAATCACAACATTTTCGATATAACGTCGAAATAGTTTTGCCAATGTGCCAACAGGATATTAGTGAAAAGTTCAGGTAAATTGACTTTGTCTGCCAGCGGTAACAATTTGATACCAGATATTTGTTGTTGTTGTTGTGGTGTATGTTTTTAGAGCGTACAGGCCTTAATAGTATTGAAATTTGCCAGCTAATTTGTTTGCTTGACAAACAGAGGCCGACCAATTGATGAGAACGGCTAAGATGTTTTAGAAAGACAACAAAATGTTGTTACAGATGCAGTTAAGCCAACATTCAACAATTTAGATTAAGCAAACCCTGCCTTGATTATGTGGCAGTCTAGGCCAATTTATTATGTATCTATTCTATTCAAAAATTAAAATTGCATTCAACTTAATATTTCTCCGAATGTGTAGTTCCGGTTTCAGAGACAAATTAACTCAACCAAGTCATTAAGTATTTATCTGTAAGCAACTTAATAGATTGATGCGAAAAGAGGTTGCCTGAAAACAATTTTCTATTCCTTAGGTTTAGCACTAAAGCTGTTAAGCGAAACAGAACATAGATGAAAAAATAATAGCATCCGTTGTGCGGTTTATTCGTTTGATGTTTTTAAGCGAATGTCAATTACACGCAATTAAATCGGATTTCTATGTATTCGAAGTTTCATTTCCGCTATTAGCTATTCGATGTCAGTTCTAAACGAAATGATTGCCATTTCTATTTGTGTGGGTGCGTGGGCGCTGATGCAGACAAAACGGAAATTAATTTCATTTTTATTTATTGTTATAGAATATCTGATTGATTTGCACAAAGCTTTTCATTTTACGGCTCAATTTGCTCCACCAGAGTTCAATGCACTGGACCACTCGATAAGCATATTATTATAATGCGACCGCTATAATGAACAGGCGTCCAAAGCCTAAGAGCACACACAGATGTGCCAGCAAGGCAGCAACTGAAAGAGTCTGGCAAAACTTTGTGATATTTTCTGCAAACAAAATGCCAATGGCCAATTGACAGCAGGGCCTGGTCACTGCCAGGACCAAGCCAACAGATTAAAGTACAAACAAAGTGGGGGCTAAGCTAAGCGAACGGATCTCTGCTGTACATCATCATGTCAAACCAACACACACGCACTCACATTGATATGCTGCTGGGGGACACTGGGCCAAAACAAAAACTAATACAATAATATGCAGCACAACTCTCAAAGCCACTTCGAGCTGTGCTCTCTTTGCCGACCAATCTCTGTTTCTGTCTCTGTCTGTAACTATTTCCATCTCTGTTTGTCTGACTGGGCAACTTTCACTGTAGAGCATACATTAGGGCGTGTTGAAGCGCATTGTATTGTGTATTGGGGTTTGTTTACAATGCAGCAAAAAGTTTTTACGTTCGCTTAGCCAAAGGCAAAGCAACTCCCAACTTTCTTAAGCAATTGTCCAGGACTAGCAGCAACAGGACAACAGCAACAACAGCAAAAACAACAACAAGAATATCGGTACTTGGGTTAAGCTTTTGGCATTTATAAGATGCACAACTCGTTGCAGTCAAGTCTTCGGTTTGTGCCTCTTCCCCCGGCCCTTGTGTCAATGACATAACTTTTTGGCTGCTGCTTTTCACTTTGAGGTTTTGTGCTCGCTTTTTAATTTATTTAAAATATCTTCCAAGCTGATGGGTTCGACAAAGGGTTTGAATATGCATATAGACTTCGGTTTTTGTAGTTCTCAGCTATTTGTTGAATTTAAAGCACATTGCCCTTTCAAAGTTTTTACACAAGCCGTATTACGCTATTAGAATAATTCCACATAATCCATTTATTTTGCATTATATTAAAACGACATTTTATGAGATTTGTCCAGTTTGCACTTTTAGAATATTTAATTTGTCTAAAAATATAAATGCATTTTTTATAGCCTTCCGAATTGTATCAATTGAAAAGGCACTGAGCTCTATTCTAGATGGCTGTCTATTCTTTATTGCTGCCTGTGTGAATATAATATTTTTTAAGCCCCTTTACATACGCTAAAAATCAATTTAAAACCCTCAAAACAGAAAATAAAATCACCACAAACGCACCACGAAAAATATGCCACAATAAAAAGTTGGCTTTCCGTTGCCGGGCAACTTTATATGCAAATAAGAGTTACATATACATGTGCATGTGCATTAAGTCTCAGAGAATGTACGTGTGTACGTGTGTGTGTGTGTGTGTGTGAGTGTGTGGCAACACGTTACATTTTAAATGAATTGTTCGCGCATTTGTTTGGACAGAACGCGGAGAACAGCAAATGAAATAAATAAATTTTATTTACTAAAAAAAGAGGCATTAAAACGATATATAAAGCGTTATATGTATATATGTATGGCGTATAAACTGTTACTATACAGCTGCCACAAAACGTAATTTTAGATATTACTTTTTATACTCAATTCTCATTAAAAGTGGCTTCAAATGTATATTAAAGTAGCGCAAACTTGTGTGACAGAAAAAAATTCTACATACTTACACGCGCTGAAGAATTGAACAATTCAGATACACCCATTTTACAGGGTATTAGCTATTCGGGACTCTCTAATAAAGCACACGTTTTTATTTCTGCATTGGATGGGCGGCATGTGGGCCAATAAAAATGTCAACGCCAGCACAAAATTCGCCGCTTTAAATTAAATATAAGCCCTTATACGTTATATTTTCAATGCGTGCGCATTTAATTTGGTTTTTTCCCAAACGACAATTTTAATATTTAATAATTTTTATATAATATGCAAGCTGTACATATTTCAAATTGTAATTTCATTTTTTTGCGGCTTATCTTTTTTATAACAATTGCACCCCAACCGAAAAACTAACGCTTTATAACTACAGCACTTATACCCCACATTTGGCTTTGGGTTTAATTACGCTGGCAACCCTTGGCTACGACGCCCTTCAGCAGCAACAGAGACGCCCCCACAAAAAATGTAACTCATGAACTGTGGTTCATTGTTTAAACTTTCAAGTTGGCGACAATAAACGTTGGAACTTTTAGTTTTATTGCCAAAGTTTCGACGAGATTTTCTGTCGAAATAACATAACAGAAAAAAGTCTATGTATAATAATAGCCACAAGGCAGAAGTTTTGGGGACTCGCCACAAAGCTCGCCCAAAACTTGTCTCAACAACACTTTCCCTTTGCAGTGAGTTTGAGTTCCACTCACAAATCGACGACTTAATGACTGACTGACTGACGAATGCCTGAATGTTGTTTGCTCATAAAACAGTTGAGCAGCCAAACAAGAATGCAAAGCGGCTCTAATCAAGCGCTGCCCCCTAGTTGCCACTAATGTAAACAGTTAGAGACCCCATACCCAACCTTCCAATTCCATGTCTGCCGCCCATTCCGTTCAACACGAAAGGAAGCCACATTAAAGACGCAGCCGATGTTAAACGGCGCCCGAGTCAAGCTGTCCAAACCTGCACGTACCTGCACTTGATCTATGCGGATATTAAGATATTGAATTACCTTTCAGTTCGTGCAGCTCAGACTGACCCGGCTTGGCTGTCGCACAGACGGTCCCTGGCCAAAAACAGCAACGGGTAACCTGAATGGGACATTCCAGCGCGCACAGGTTTCAGATATGAAAAAATGCGAGATAAATCCTTGTGGCAATTGAACGTTAATAGTTAAATAATACAGTGCCAAATATGCGCACAATTATGCTTAAAATTCCAGGCATAGCCCGTAAGTGGGTAAGCCCTAAGACCTGGTCGGTCGTGTTAGACACAAACATGTCTATGTGGCCATCTAAATCTATTAAATATGCAACATGCGTGCAAAGGCTGGCTAGAAAGACAATGACATGGATAAAGAGCAGGTGAGGGTGAAGTCAAAGTGACTGCTGGTGAGCTTCTAAATCTGTCTTGGCTTCGTTTAGTTTGACAAAAAAACGAAAATGGAGCATCAGCTGCTCTGCGTATCAAGATGTTCAGATTAAGCGCTTTTTAAATAGCTTAATCCGGAATAATGTTAAAAAAAAATGAAAAAATTATATTCAGAAAACAGAAAATGATAATCACATTTGGGTAAAACATAGAAGAGTTTGCTTAGATAGTAGCCCTTTTTTCTTAATTTTAAATTATAAATATTTTTATAATGAAAAGATGATATAAATATATCCACTCATAATTCAGGCAACTGTTTTGGGTCTTAAAAGTGGTAGCTCTTGAGCCTGTCGCTCAGCATTAATCGGAGCCCGTCCGTGATTTCCATGATTGTGGGGCATCGCAAAAATAAGCTTTCTCCAAAACTGGGGATCATCACGTCTCAGATATGTATTCAATTTCATGTACGTTCTCAGCTCAGAGTCCAGGTCATTGAAATCTTCCACTTCTGGATACACAATAATAATCAGACGCTTGTACTGGTCGATCGAAGTAGCCTGAACAGCCATACGGAATTCGAAGCGACCCCAGGCTGACTGCTTGAAGTTCTTGGTCATCAATATAATGATTCTTTTTGATTCTTCTATGGATTTTAAAATGCATGCTGGAATGGATTCACCAATCAACCAGTCGCGTTGATAATAACAAAGCTTAAATGCACGGGATCCTTTCTCCAATTTTTCAATGTACTCTTCCACAAGTTCCGAGTCCATGTGTGAAAATGCAAGAAATGCGTCAACTGTCAAAGTATTACTATTCTCGGGTTCCGGATGCGAAATGCAGCTTATGCACAAATTCCGCTCATAAAGACAAATAATAACGGATTTCTTGAGGTAGAAATATGCCATTATTATAATTGCGATTCCCAAAAGACAGCCAAATAAGAGTGCACTGTAATTTGTAGGTAATCCACAAATATCTGTTTTTTTAAGAAATGCCATCTTGCCAAAGTGTATCTCATTGCATTCAATATGTTCACGATCGTCAATCGAATTTGACAAATTTGCAACAAACGATATCAATGGCTCAGCATCACAGTCGCATATCCATAAATTACCCGAAATCCTTAGTCGTATATTACCTGATCTACTCGAAAGAAACTCCAGCACGTTTTTGTCAAAAGTTTTTAAGCTGTTGTTGCTGACATCCAGATAAGTTAAATTGGCTGGCAGTTGGGCCAGACTTATATGGGTGAGCCTGTTATTGGCCAGATGCAACTGTCGTAGATTCGAATATCCATATAAGGTTGAGTTTGGCAATTCAGTCAGGTTCTTATTATTGAAATACAATATTGCATTACCAACTATTGGGATTGGCAAATCTGGGACATGCGTTAGTGGATCAATGGAATCACAATCTATTTTAAATTGCAGTTCGTTACGCTCGAAAGTGCATACACAGCCAAAGGGACATGTTCTTTTCATAATGTCTCTCTTAAAAATACAAGCACCAGAGTGCTGAGTACATATAAATGCGGTTATATTATAGTTATAAATCCATTGAAAGTTTGTCGTGTTCGAGATAAGTTCAATTATGCGTAAATTTGAATAATTTTGAAGGTAAGAAAACCCAGTTAAATCTTCAATTTCACTTATAGAATATTTCAGCTCCAAATACTCCAAATTATTTTGTAAGGTCTTAGAACTGTAAAGATATTTACATCAATTACATTTTCTTTATTATGAGCATATAATATATACACATACCGAAGCCAGTCAAACTGATCTATCCGTATCTCTCTAAATTGCAAAGATTTTAAATGAATTAAATCTCGAAAATGGGCCGGAGTAAGGCTATGTAGCTTAGAGCTTTCAAATATTATTTTTGAAAGTTTAATCAGGCCTTCAAACATTTGAATGTGTATATCAAAAGTGATTTCATAATCATAAACGGTACCCTTCAATTTAAATAGTTCCAAGTTTGTCATGCCTCTCAAAAAGTTTTTCGTAAAAACAAATGTATTCGAACCGAACTTGGATCGCAGAAATGCCGAAGGCCCGTTTATAGATACATGCAGTTCTCTAACTTGGGTAACATTAATAAAATTAAACAGTTCGCAGTTGCTGAAGCCCCAGGAGTCATAAACTTCAACGAAAAGCCTTTCCAGATATTTGTATTTGATTATAAAATCATTTAAGCTGTAACATTTTCCATGCATTCGCCAACGTAATTGCCTTAAGTTTGGCAAGCTCGGAGTTGTATTTAAGTCGCTATATTTAAAGGCATTAATGTATATTGAATGTACATGTTCATTATTGCAACTCCTTAAAATGAGATGGTAGTTTTCAGACGATTTGCAATGCAGTGTTTTTTGTACATATCCTTGTTTCTGCGCAAGACAATAGTACGCTCTGATTGCTTCTTTATCCAAATAACAAGATCCCTCAAATTCACTCAAATAATAAAATGGATAAGAGCACTCAAATTCAAGAATGTCGCCCACTAATGTCAGCTTACACGAGCTATCTCCATCGTCACGTGCATTTGGCAGTGGGCAATGTCGGTGAAAAATCAGCCTGTATACGAGACAATAACTCATATAGACGGGTATTGCATTTAGGCCAGCATGGGCTTTATCAAGTGCAAAATATATGAAACAAATTTGAAATATTTCTAACCGCATTCTAAAATGAAGTACAATAAAGCTGTGATTGCAAATGAGAACTGAGCCAACGAGAAATAAGTAAGTATATCCAAATGAGCGCAACAAGAAACAATACAAAAAAATTTTGCATATGTAAGTTTGCTGATAACGTACTCCTTAGGGAACTCGACTGCATAGTTCATACACACTCAGCTGCATATATGCAAGCGCATGCATACAGCAGCAATTTTCAATTTGTAGATTTCAATTTATTATTTGTTATCATTATCAAAAAAACATAAAAAATAAAACAAATAGTAATATATTGATATAACAAAAATAATTAAAATTATTCTTTTGTTTTTGTTTAATCGACTTCAATATTGTCATAAGTATGATTGGCACTCCCTCAAACGGTTTGTGTAGAGTAGTCAGCGAAAGGGTTCAGCCCGAGCGAGATAACGAAAGTTAGAATATAATATATTCAGAGTGTTTTTTTTTCGTGGAATTAATGCGAGGCAATTTATATGAAATTTAATATGAGCAGTAACGAGCTTCTTGTTGAGTACGTTTCTGCTAGGACAATCAGGCTGCTGAATATGTAAGGATCATCCACATATTGTAAATTTTTATTTATAAATTAACATGAGAAAACAGGACAGTTTTTCGTGATTGCTAAATACATTGTTGAATTAAACGCTAAGTGACCCAGTTCATGTATATTTTTATTTACATATCGATGTCCCGGAACATTTAATTTTTTCGTACTTCGAGACCTATTTTAGCAGCTGTATTTTTGTACTTTAACACTTAAAGTTTGAGTTCCACTTCAGTGGCAATTTTGAATTGTGTAAAACAGGCTTTGGATTCTCAATCGCAGCTGTGTTATGTCTTATTGGATTTCATAAGACGTTAGCTGGAAATTAATGTCTCTGCGCGTAATTTAATAAAAACGTACAATTCGTACAAGAAACACAATAACAATAGGATTCACAACGGGCAAAGAATGTTGTTTATGGCTCCAAATATTTATAATTGGCGCAGCTGTTGGACGCCTTTCAACTGGCAAAGAGGGTAACATGGGTTGCTCAACTTTTCGTTGGCTACTTTATAGTTCATAATTTGAAAAGCAGATGAAATTGCCAAATAAGGGCGAGACCGTAAGTTGTCGTATCGTTTTATAGCGGGGGCCATGCAGCTTGGCTGCGAGTGCGTTCTAAAGTTAATTGCACTGAGTGCCAACTGACCCCGCAATGTCGCCAGTTCCGAGTTTCAAGTTTATGTTGCAAATGCAATTCGTTGCAGGCCCCAGTTGATGGTGTACTTTCTGACAGAAAGGTAATTAAAATAGCGAAACGAGGGATTCCAACAGCTTTATTTAGTTATTTTAATTAGCTTAAGCAAGCCGCAGTGCGGTTTAAAGTATAAATTTCAATTTAGTTCGGCATTTACATAATTCGTCAGCCAAAAAAACAGGACGACCAAAAACCCCAAAAATGCAAATGCTACACAGTCTGGAAGCTGGAGTCTGAAAATGCGACTAAGACGGCAACTGAGGCAGGGGCAAAGACGTTGATTTTCGGCTTGCTGAACATTTGCTAAGCACTTGTTGCTTAAGCTTTAGCTGCCCCCTTCAACAGCTGCTTACTCCTACACCAGCTACCCTTTTCAAAGTTTTCGACATAAAATTCACTTAGACTGTCGTGGCTGTCGTATGCGTTGCTGTGTTGCCTTGTATCTGTTGCCTGGAATCTGCATATTTGTAGCAACCGGATGCAAGGACATTGCAGGCATGTAGCTGTAGCGACTTGCATGCAAATACAATTTGACTGCCTTGTTAGAGCGGCCAGACGGAGATACCCCTCGCAAAACAATAAGACGCTCTCCCACGACCAAGACAAAGACCAAAGTCAATCCCCCTGCCTGCCCTACTGGTGCTGTCACATGGACAGCCATTTGGCATGTGCTTAAGCCGCGTTGTGGGCTGCCGTTGTGGCTGTCGCGTGGCATCTCTAATAAATGCCACAGCAGCTCAGCTGACAGCCACTTACCTCCGGGCACCATTACTCCCTTCAACGCGAACTAATGTTATTTGCGTGCAGTACTTTTTACGAGTCGCTTGGGTGTCATAAATGTGTAAAATTCATGTGCTTAATGCACAACATTTGTTATACATTCAACATGGTCAATTGTGAAGGCCAAAGCATTGATGTGAATATGACAATGCGATATGTTTGCATATAAAAAGCGAAATAATTTTTAAATTAATGGATTATAACAAAAAATAAAGATTTAATACAACTACAACTACTTCAACTAATTTATATAAGGAAAAACAAATCTTAATTTATTGGTAGAATAAACGCTAGTTTCTCTTAATTGAATTTTTGAGAATCCCCTGGAACGGTTATGTAAGAATAGTTTAGTTTTACTGATTTAATTATATATAATTTTACACACAGTAGTACATACATAGCTTGTATGTTTTGAATCTTGAAGTTTTTAGATAAAATTCACTCGTCTCTTTGCGACTTAACATAATAAGTCCTAATATGTGAGCCGCATTGACTTCAATGAAAACGTGGCAAGCATTCCCAAACTAAGGATTAGTATAATAATTCAATCATGGGATAAGACTTCTGCTGTTGTTGGCAAACACGAGGATGGTGATGATGGCAGGCAGCTTCAGCTGAAGTGCAACGCTTTGTTAAAAGTTGACCTCGTCAATGAAAATTGGGCGCCAGTCAGGCAAAGCAGGCCCGGCAAACATACAGAACCGGGGACATGAGGATGCATGCAGCACACTATGTGTGCAGATTTTGACACACATTTGTAAATGGCTGCGGTTCCTCTGTGTGAGGCCCTGTGTGCATGTTTGTGTATAGGGTGTGTATGTGTGTGTGTATGTGGGCGTATGCAATGGTGCTTGTGCGGTTACTGAAGTGAGACATGCCAAAGCAAAAGTCGTAACCACTTTGTAAGTGTCAAAAACATAGCAGAAACGAAAATTGGATTGCACCAGCAACAACAGCCTCTGCAGCCGGAAACGGAAGCGGCAGCCTAAGCGCTGCCTGACCCACACTCATGAGACGCGCCTATGTTATGAGCAATGCCCCATCTGCCTGTGGTCTTTGTTGTTGCTGCTGCTGCTATTGGGGCCATTATGTTGGCTAATACAATACACACAAATAAGCAGATGCATCCGATGGGTGACTGTGACTGACCCAGCGCTAAAGAGGGAAGGTGTGAGCGAGAAGAAAGCGAGAGAGAGAGACACGACAAACAACGTGAGCACGAGTCGAAAGCACTCATTCGCAATGTGGTCTCTGGTCATTCATACGCAGCGTGGACCCCACCCATATACAATTGCATGCAATCAGCGCCAGTTGGGTTTAGGGCGATTGGGCGTTGGCTGCTGCAGCAGCAACAGCCCCGTGAACTGACCTGCCCTCAACTGAACGGCAGTAGACCAGACTGGACTGAGCCCTGGACAACACACTGCACTGAGTTCAGACTCAACTGAGCCTGTGCTTTGAATAGGTCGATTTATATTGGCTGTATTTAACCATCGATTTTGTTAGTTTCGTGGGCATGGGGCTGGGAGCGGTCTCGCATATAAATCGCTTTTAATTTGATCATACAAATTATTTCATAATTGCTATTGCATTTGTAAACAATTTGCGCACAAGAGCGAACCCATGAAAAGTTGATTGAACTGCAGAGCAGAAATGCCGTGGACGCCATGCTGGCTTAGCGTAACATTTTTATGTGTGTGGGGTGAACGTAAGTGTTGGGTGTGTGTGGTCGTTTGTTGGAGATTTTTCATATGTACTTTCATATATGAGAAATATTTTATGGCCAATATAAATGTTCTGCACGCACTTGGGAGAATAATAAATTTGCCAAGTTGCCGTTGACGTTGGCAAATGCCAGCAAAGACTTCAACTTCAGCTCCCCAAAGTCGCGTCGGTCGCTCCTTAGACTGGCAAAAGCCCCCAA